GCAGCGGCAGTAAGAGGAAGACATACAGCCATACGGCGAAACTTTTTCTGGTTTCTTCCAGATCGTCTCTGTTTGTCCTTTTCCTCCCACTCCTTGTTCTTTTCTTCTTTCTTTTTCTCCAGGCGCTCTTTGATCATGTCCTTGAACTTCTCAAACTTTTCCTTGATCTTCTCCTTGATTTTGTCTTCGTAGGTTTTCTTCTTGTCCTCCTCACTCACATCTTTGTCTCTGATGCATACTGTCTTCGTGGGATCCGACTTCATGAGCGGTGGGCACTTGATGCATTTGGTCGGGTCGGACGGGTCTCGAATCTTGTTCTTCTTGCATCGAGCCTTTCTTTCACAGCTCTCTCCATTTCCCGCTTGTCTGTTAACTAAGGGAAATCGAGCTTCGCGGCCCAGCACGGAGCCTGGCTGTGAGATATCGAGATCGGATGCCGTACCCCTGTGGACACGTTGCGAAAGTAAAGTGGCTTCGCTGGGGGTATACGCGGCGATCAAATGATTCGTTAGGAGGAACAGTACTTTGATGGTCTTTGCAACATGCATGATGAGGGATTGGCAAGAAGCTAGCAGTAGTGTAAAGGTAGATTTTGATGTGAGCTGAGAAGGACTCACGTCGATGGCTTTCTTATCAATGTACCTAGGTAAGCTGCCAGCCTTTCTGATGCTGTGAGTGCTTGCGCAGGGCTAATCTAATTTGAGTGACGAAACAATTAAGATACGTGGCGTATCCTACGATTGATCATATGAAAGGTATGGGGCTGCATTGGACGGCTCAACCTCTTCGCACGCGATACGTTGCCTCAACCGTTGGCGAGGCCACTCTGCTCTCTACTCAGACATCCTGCCACATGATGCACACTGCCACGAAAGCGACGCTGGGGCGGGTGAGCCCAACACAACGAACACTGCCTTCACGAGGCACGGATTCTGCCCTGTGTAAGAACCTGTGGGGTGGAAGCTGCCTATAGCCCCCAACCCACATAACCTGGCCGAGACCTCTATGGCCGCGCTGTGCAATCAAACTTCTCGGCCTGGTTCAGGCCCCATCTTACATACATATTTTCGAAACCAAAAGGTGCAGTCTGACACCTGGGCAGTCTCGGAATTTCGAACTTGCTATATCGAGCGCCACATGCTTACCTACGTACAGTCGATCAAGGAGGACTTCTTTGCTTGTTTGGTTGCCGATGCGAAAGACATTAGACTCACCGTCTAATCACGGTGGGGAAGTCTTGCTAGACTAAATACATGAACAAGGAGCTTTCGGTCACTAAGAGTTCATCAGCGTATAGTTTGATATGGAGCGTTACATTGAAGCGAAAGATCATTACACGAAGCAAAGCGTCTAATCATATCGCTACATCTGCGGCTATAACCATCTGGCGTCTAGACTTCATGATCAAGCTTGCGGAAATCATGTCGCGCAGAAACTGATGCATGTGGATTGCCAGCTGAACTAAACAAATACCCTTCAAACTCAATCTAAGCAAACAATCGCAATTTCATTCACTTCAGATCCGGAGCTTCCTTGCCATCGACCGACCACAAGTCCCAGACTTCATAACTTCCATAGTTCCCCACGAGGCAGCCATCGTCGCCATACGCCAAGATATCCGAGGGCTTGCAGTCGTCGCCATTGAAGAGGACGACAACGGAGCCAAAATCTTTGTCACCTTCACCTCCGGCTTGTTCAGTTTCATTGTGTTCGATAATGATGGCTGCAGCTACCCCAGCGTTGTCGCGGTTGCAGCCAGTGCTGGCATCGACATCTCGCCAGCCAAGGTTGGCACCGCGGCAGCCCGCAGATTGACTATACGCCAACGCCAAAAGTCAGTAGTTGTCACACATATGGATTATGGAAGGCGATGACTTGCTAGTGATGGAGGCGATAAGCGTTGGCTATGCAGACCAAGTGCTGGAGGAGGAAGAATGCCTTCATGTTCATAGAGACTGTGTATGTGAAAGAGGTGTAAGAGTCGTCTTTGATTGCAACGATCTTTACAGTGAGGATGAGCGGTGGATTACGTTTGATGCCTGCTCAAGAGTAGATCTGGGCTGTGAAGATTCTTGAAGGATCTCAAGGTACGTTTGTAGCCCCAGGACAAAAGACATGGGTAGGTAACATCGCGTGGCTCGTAGCGCTCATGTGGTTAAATTTGGCAAGTAGTTGGACATGGCATCTATTTGAGAGCATCCCTGTAACTCCTCAGTATGCAAGTAATGTGGGGTTTGGATCGGAAATGAGTATCCGAAGATACCGCACCGCCTTCAGCTCAAGCATTTGGCCCGTGGGGGCACTTTTCATAACCGGGGGCTGGCCCCGTGGCTCTCCCGCAGCGGCACGGCCGCCGTCTTACTCTTGCGTCAGAGTGTTTCGAAACTTCACGTCTTGGCTTCTTACGAGATCTCCATACATGCATTGGAAACATTCTACGCAGATAGCCTGTGCCGCATTTATATCAGCAATTACAAATCTTGACCCCGGGAGGTACTGCGTATAGTCCTAGGATCGTGGAATGACTCCGTGCCACTCTATCGCCCCCATCCTGTGCTTTTGTCGGGGATCCTGGAAGCCTATGCCTCAGCTTCTTATGACATCTTCATGCATGCAGTGGGAAGTTTCGTATCATCATCCGAAACGTAAAGCTGACCTCTTCTTGGTCTTACTGAAGACCGAGTGTCGGCGGCTCCTCATATATGCTGACCAATTTTGGCCTTTTTTCAATACTGAGCAATCGCCTTTCGACGACAGTGCCTCATAATGCATCCGATACATTCGGAACAGGACGTTTGAGCGTCTGCAGAATCCATGCTGCCAATTTGGTCGATGAGACAAGCGTATACCAATACGGCCCCAGGGTGTTGTGCTACCTAGCATATCTCTTATTCGCCAGAATGGAGAAGCGGAATCGAAAGCGGGAATTGGCCAACTACTTGACCGCTCCGAAGTTCAATGACAGGAACAAGTAACCAAATCAATAGCTGGTTTGAAATCAATGACTAGGTACAGTGTAACTACCATGTAATTTGCAAACGCGTAGGAAAAGAAAAATGCCTACTCTTCCACAGCACCCAGCTCTACCACTAACCTCATGAAGGGCTTGAACTCCTCTGGCATCCAGCTGTGTAGGTCTTCGACATAATGTCGCGGGACTTTTGCCCCATGCTCTGCAAGGTATCGGATCATGTCATCAGATTTATCGTACATAGCCGTCGCTAGTGCTCGTAATGGGGCGGCTCGATGCTCACGGATGTCCGTGTTCCAGTCAGTGACATCTTCGTTGACATCTGCACCCGCTTCTAGCAACATCTTCACAGTTTCCATGTCGTGCTTCTTGACTGCTAGCTGCAGCGTCCCCGAGTCCTTGAACCAGTCGATTCCGAATCTGTCCAACAGGACTCGAATTGACGCAGCCTTCGGCCATGGCTGTTCAAAGGGTGCAAAAAACATTCCTCGGAACCTGCTCACACTTCCTCCATGGTCTATCCACCAGCGAGTGGCGTCAGGTCCCATGCGAACCATACCACACCAGGTTGAATTATGCGTAGTTGAATTGTAGTTTAACTGCTGTGGGTCTGTGCGCCATTGGCAAAAGTCCAGGTCGAACAAGATATCGAGCCATTCCACACCGTTTTTCCCATACCAGCCGCAAAAGGTGTAGGAGTCGAAGTAGTTGGGCGAAAAGCCGATCTCGAAGCAGAAACGGAGTAGCTGGGTGTCGCGTATTTCTGATGAGATTTTCATGAGAGGACGGGAATAGTATACTGGGTCTATGCCAGAAGATTCAAGAAGTTCTCTGATGGCAGGAATGTCGCCTTGAAATGCACTCAGGAAGATCGAAAGGATGATGGTTGTATCTACGAACTCGTGTAAGCAGTGAGACCCACAGCCGGTCATTCTGCATTTTGATCATACTTACCATCGTCTGTGGGCGGCTCATAGTTCTCGCTGAGCAGTAGATCTCGTACTTCTCTCTCGAAGCCCCTCAGATTCCATGCCTTTTTGTCGGCAGACTCTACCGTAGATTTGGGAAGCTTGTAGTAGGCCACAATGTGCCGCAAACATTCTTCCAACGTTCTCTCGCCACTCAATCTCGCATCGCGCGCTTCGCCAAAGCTGGAGAGAGTCGTTGACATTGCGATCGTTATCAGCGATAAGGCTCACTATGATGCCTAGGTATGTGAGAAACGCAAACCTTGGAAGTGAAACAAATTCAAGGCTGGTCGGATCCAGAAGGTGGGAAAGAGGGCGGGAAAGAGAGCGACGAAGATCTGTGTACTTTGAGCGCAGACGTGTACTCCGGGCTTCTACAGTTGATGATTTTGAGAGGTGTGCGGGCGGATATTAACCTGAGGGTGGCACAGTGACGCTAGTGGATTCATAGCTAGCGGTGTACACCTACAAGCGCTTATTTGACATCGGCTTGATGTTGCCTAACATGCCAAGGGTGGCGCATTCCAACCTTGGAGGTACCTAATTAGCCCAGGCGGACTCAGGGCATTGACGTTCTATCTATGTTACTACCCGATGCACGGAGAAGGCGTCGCGCGCGCAAGGATTTAGGGAGACAGAAGACCTCGGGAGGGCTGTTTCAACCCCGAATCCCGATATTTCAAGAATTATGTGTGTGACGCCTCAAGGTCGCGTCTCTTGGTGAGCATTGGGGGCTGTAGGGCTTTGCGATACCTCCCTAGGTAGGTAGGATGTGTTGAATCTTCTTGAGATGTGGCCATGTGCCACGGGACACATGCCTGCCTTTGTTTTAACGCGCGATTGCAAGGCAGATAGTCAAACTGGAGTTCCTGTACTATCAAGATACCGTGGCCAAAGATATCGACACAAGTCTCGCTGAAATCCTTGCTGAGAACTAGGTATATCTTCTCTCAACTCCTATCAGCATTGGGTAAACGTACACTGAATCAACACTTGTCGCCTGGACTGCGTCAATCCTTACGTTACTGCGTATATTTTCATCCTGCCATCGCTACCACGACATGAAGACCACATGGCTCACTATCCTGTGCTGGACTTACATCCGGCTGTCCACATCTTTCCCTGTCGATGACAGGCCCGCATTTACACCATGGGATCTGGCGAAAAGAGAGATCGAAGCAGCTATCTTCTCCAATCCTCTGGGACCCCAATTTGGAGTACCTGATGAGACGTGTCGTGGCACGCTGGAGGGCCCCAACACCGGTAGTTGCTGGAAGATGGCAGATGTCACAGTTGATGTGAGTAGTTTTACCCTCTTAATCTTTTTAATCCAATGACTAAGCTACCTAGAAATTCATCGCAAACCGAAAGCCCGAGGCCAACGAATGCGAGGTGCCCTGCCTTTTCTACACCTCGAAACTCACGGGAGCGGCAGAAAGGCTGGCCAATTTTGTTCTGAAGGAGGTACTTTTGACGGGGGCTGCGGAAGGACCGCGCAAGTACCAAACTATCTGGGTACGTCTCGCTAGGTAGAGTACAACCACGCGAGAATGCTAACTACTCACAGGAGCTACATCCGCCAAAGTTCTATCCAAACAAGAATGACCTGGACAAGACTCCCGAGGCCAAGTGCATCTACCAGGACCAGAGGGATCAGGACTACGACGCGAACTTCGATGGTTGCCAACGGCTATACTTCAAGTCAATGTCGAAGGCCATGGCAATGGAGTGCAAAGGCGAGGTCTTCTTGATGACCAATTCAGATCTGAGCGGTACTCGCCCCGAAGGAAAAAAAGAAAAAGTTCCAGTGGATGGAATTTGGTGGCAGGTTGAATTTCCGACACTGATCGATGATGCTCGACCCGCAGACAAGAAAATCACAAAAGTCAGTCCAGAGCCACGCCGTAGGTACCAATTCATGGATGTTTAGGTTAACAGTCCCTCTAGATCAGTTATCTTCAAGTACCTTTTAAAGACCTTGGAACGCTAACTGCAGAAGAGAGAAGCAAGCCCCCCGAGATTGAGGCGAGGGGGGAGTATTGGCCTAATGGAGTTGGCAACGAGCATTTGCAAAGCTTTCGCAACGAACAAAGTCCGCAATCGACGCCGAGCCCGCAATCAACCCCCACTCCCACCCCCGAGGCAGCCAATCCGGTTGAGACCCCTTCCAGCGGTCTTGTCAGGAGGGCAGATCGGACAGATGAAGAAGTTCTTGAACCTGATGACGAAGGTTATCCTTATCATTACTCCATCGATGAGATCTATGACTGGTACAAGGAAGCAGCGTGGTAGAGGCTGGGAAAGGAAGACATGCAAGAAGATCGAGATTGGTTTGGTGGAAGGCCGCGACATTACAACGATTTTGCTGAGTCTCTTATTCCTCGAGTGGTATCTGGCGATGTAACTAGACTTTCCATATCTTTTTATCAGCTGGCGTTTATTGGTACGTGAATGGATTCGATGTCTGCAATTCGCTCAAAAAGCCATGTTAAACCCGGCTCAGCCTATCACATTGCACGTTGCCGTGCACCGCCACAAACGCCACGTCTGCATCTATAATTGACAACCGGCTGAGTGGACGACGCGAGCATCTACGTGTCAAGTCCACCGCGTATAGCGGGCATAGTCGCTGGGTGACCGAAAAAAGTCTCCAGTATTTGCCCGACGTACGACGGGTCGGGGCGATATGGCTGACATTGCGGGGTGAGCGGAGGCTTAGCTTGGGAAGTAGATATGTTGCACCAGCTATAAGTAGGAACGCCAGCACTATCGACACCAACCTTGCAATCTTTACTTCCTCTTGTTCGACATATACCAAGCTTTCCAGCAAATCTTGAATCCTTGGATCTCCACTCACAATGCCAAACGTCCGGATCGGCCCGACACATGAAGGCCGTGCTCGAGGACGCATGTTCTGGTCGCCTGCAGAAGAAGGGTCATGCGTGCGAAAAATGGAAACAGTTCGTCGGAAGGGCATCGTTGAAGGACCTAACGGATACCCGGTGGTTGCAATCTCGAGACGAGCGGAGGAGAACAACCTGATTTACCCAAATCCGGACATCTCGAGCACACGCTCTTTCCGGCTTAACCAACGTCTGACAATACCAATTTCGGCAAAAGGTCAAAATCTGGATGAGCCAAAACGTAGTACTGGAGACCTGAACCTTGAGCGCACAGTCACGTCGACACAAGCCGCGCGGAGCGATGATGTTGGGAGGAACGCCGCTCCAAAAAGAGCCTCGAAGAAGTCGTATGAACATTCCAGAGTTCTCCAGTCTCCTCAGCCGGATCTCGAGGTGGCAGGCGTGAAAGAATGTACTAGCCGACCCGAGATATCTTCGCCAGATACCACAGCAGATACCACAGCGCGCAACTCTTTCATCGGCGATGTATGGTTGTCGTTCGACCATATGATAAAGCACGTCGCGGCAGTATCTGAGGGGAAAACGACGCCTAAAAAGACTGTTGTGAGGCGTCCGTTGTCCCGGTTCTGGGTTGATGCAAAAGGTGTGATGGCTGTAGCTATTGCGTCGATGTAGAAAATCGGAGTTGCTGCTTAATGATGAAGTGTCTTGTTCACACGCTGGACTCTTGGTGAGCTTGAATCCAAGCAATGGCGTTACACACACGGTCTAGTGCTATTGGTCGCCTGTTGGTATCCTTCAGGTCTTCCCTATAGGATTCGAGTAACTGGTAGGACGCCGAATGCTCCTCGTTATGCAGCGCCAGGACTGTACGTATGAATATCCATATTGACTCTTGCTCGAGATCGAGACTTTTTGCATAGTTCAGTATATCGCCCACCAGCTCCCGCTGTAGCGATGTAGCTATGATAGGCATCAGATATAACAAGAAAGACCAACCAGAGATATCGCTTGGGTGTCTGCAACACCACTCCTTGACGCCGTGGGCGACATGGACAACCATCTCGCTACCTTCAAGCTTAGGTACTAGTTTACGAGCATACTGCCAAGCGTGATAGTTCTTCGGATGCTGCTCTCCAGACTTGTAAATAGCGGCGAATTCGCTCTCCCAAAACGTTGCTATTTGTTCTTGCGATGCATCTCCCAGTTCTACGAGTCTCAAAGAGTCCACGATGCTGGAGCGGTGGTACCACAGGGTCGGCGACTTGGACTGACGATGAAGTGGAGAGGTAAGTATGCTGTTCAGAAAGCACAGCTCTTGTCGTAATGCCCTATGGTATGGAGTGCCAACATGAAGACCATGAGTTTCTTGTAGCTGGAACAAGGTGCGTTTTCGATAATTTGCTGCAGTGAGATGCTCTGGGTCGAATAGAAGCATGACCTTTGTCGCTTGCAATGTCTGTGCAGCCGTGATAGGATCACGTGCCTTGCTATGCACGAAGAAATGTTGGCGGGCTTCCAGGTAGGCTAACGCAAGTATCTTCTTCGGCACTCCCAGACTCATTCCGTCTTGCATGGTGATGCCATCCGGTGGCTGTATAGCAGGAGGTAGAATCTCGATCTCGATAACTTCGTCTGCATGCTCCTGGAAGTACTCGCTCAACGAAGCAAAAGCCAGCCTCTGGAATTCCTCTTGCTGCCCGCATTTGGTCGTCATGGCGGAAGATCTGATTTCGTGGGTTCAAAGTGAAAGCTGCCCAGCTGTCGCAGAAGGAGGACCCTTGCGCACGACCCCACCGCGTTAGCTTGCAGCTCCCAAAACCGCCTGGGCACCATTATGACATAACCCTTGACTTCAACACGATGCAGTGAGAACACGCTGCACCGCGATACTGGTCCCCATCCCTCAACATGCCGTCTCTCCTCCTGGTTGTCTTCACCCTGCAGCTGTTGCTCCACATCATCAACACCGTGGGCGCATCCACGGTCAACGACCTGGTAAGCCCCGCATCCGAAAACAAACACGCAGGAACCTGGGACTGACACATGGCAGCTATGGATCCTGTACAATAAGCTGCCGACGCCAACATCTGGGTCTGCGCAGAGATGCCAGGCCCTCAAAAAGGATATTGTGCGCTTGAAGCGCGAGCTGGGCAACACGTCGCCTCAGGACAACTTCTCAAAATGGGCCAAGCTCGACAGGCAGCACAACAAGGCTATGGCTGAGTTCCAGAAGCTAGGTAAGCGCTCCTGCGCGGAGACGCTCCCACCGGACACGTCAAGTGCACTTGCTAACGCTCTTCTCTCCAGATGGTTCCCTGCGCTCGCACCAGTCCACCTTCACTTCCGCCGTCTCGACCCTGCGCTGGCTTGGCACCCAAGGCCTTCGATTTGTTCTACAGTTCTGGTTCTCCAAGTCGCCTATGTTCTGGGTACCTGCTGGGTGGGTGCCATACTACGTCGAATGGGTGCTGAGTTTCCCGCGCGCACCTCTGGGAAGCGTGAGCATAAACATATGGGGTATCGCGTGCGCAAGTATGATCGCGCTGGCAGCAGAGGCAGTAGCTGCGGTTTGGGTACTGGTCATGCGCAAACCAACACCTGTGGCGGCAGAGAAGCAGCGCGAGAAGCACGATGCTATGGCCTTCAGCGCAGACCAGAAGCCTGCAGAGAAGAAAGAATTGTGAGCGCGCTACGTGTCCGATTCCGCGTGTATATTTCATACAACTTCAAATCAAGTAAAAATTCAATATGTCTCCCAACAAAAGACGCAAAGTCGTCGTGGCTTTCGCTCAGACACTGCAACACGAGTGGGATGATCTTGGCAGATCCTTTGGCTTCTTCTAGGCTACAAATTGAACTCGTGATCGTGGAGAGTAGCGTATCACCGAGTCTTCGAAAGAGCCATCTACTAATCTAGATTCCTTGACTAACATCCTAAAAAGAACGACGCGGTGCACGGCAGCTGGCATGAAACTGCATCGTCCAACCGCATGCGTATAATCTCGTTGGAAGCGAAGGGTTTTGTTTGGTGTGGAATGGTCGCACTGGAAGCTTGAGAGGGAGAAAAGTGAAAATTCCGCGCTAACAGCTCGCGGCCCGACAGTGCCCCCGAAGAGCGCTTACCATATTTGGACTATCGCGTCTCATTGGCACGTATAGACAATGTGAAGAGCTCCATGAACTTAAGGAACGAGAAATTCTGCGTCTGAAAGTCAAAGGTTGCTAGCTAGAAGTTCAACGGAATATTTGTCTATAGCTAGTTCTCCCACTCGCTCCCTCGGATTATGTCACGTGCGTTTAGACCGTGCCCGAGGTCCAGGGCTGACCGGCTTGAAAATATCGCAGTGTACATCTGCCGTGTCTCGCGTGTCGTCGATCGTGCCTTACATGAACATGATCGACTATTCTGGCCGTTGATCACCACCATTCAATAGCATACATCCTGGTTTAGCTCTGTCAGCTACAGTGTAGTCGCTTGGAATGCAACACGGGACGGAGATGGGTGTCACCTCGTGTCGTGTGCTGCTTGCCTAACCGCACCAGGTAGAAAGTCTGCCGAAAACGAAGTGAGTCAGCCTCCGACTCATTGTCGTCGCGTTTCAATGCGCTTTGACAAGGCCAAGCGAGGGAAGCCGCCAAAGTCCAATAATGAGGCTCTACCGCGTCTTGTGGTGGGTCTGTGCACGTCTTCCCCATATCCGCATGAATGGTTCAGCGCTCGCCGGTTCCAGGCCGATCCAAATCTGGCTGTCGTGTGTGGATGAGAGTTCCCCGCAATGTGGGATGAGATTGCTAGGTGCAGTGATCGCTCAAAGGTTGCGCACCTCGCTCTGCTTACGTGCACAGGGCTTCAGTAGGGTTTGCAGAGGTGTAGACGGCGTCTGGGGAAGCATGATCGCGGCTGGTTTCTCGAGTCAAGTGCGTGCTGGCGTCCCCCTAACCTCGCTGGTTTCATGCTGCGGCCGCGAACAAACTTCGTCGACATGATGGCGGCCGCTGTTGCATGTGCCACCTGTCGCGCCCAATGCCCTCACCCGCTGCATCTAAAGCTGCTCACACAAGGCGAAAGCCGAGAAACTTCGAGACTTGAGCGCACGAGAGCCATGGCCCACGGACGAGGACTGACTCCGTGACCGGCCTAACGGCGCCCAGTGGCAGCGCCGGCATTTCGGTGAGATTGTATCGGGACAGGCGCTGTGACGAAATGGCGTTTCTCTCCCCACACGGTGGACAAATGCTCCTCCCAATGACGTTTCGAGGATTCAGACGCCGGCCCAAGGCCGTCTAATGCGTTTACAAGTCGCGCACTTAGCGATGCGCACTCCACTTTGCTCGCCGCTGCTCAACCGTCCGCCTTTCCTGGGGTCGATAGTCCCTTCACCGCATCGACCCGCGTGGCCCTGCACACTGCTCGACTCGACGCAG